AACCATTTCCAGAAGGCAGGAACATGAGGGAGGTTCCTTACGGCCTGGGACCATAACTGGGGCTGACCTGTGGTGAGACGGAGCCCTCAGAGACAGTGAGACATTCATCAGATGACAAGGGAAGAGTCATGTTACTCAGAATATGACAAAGGCTGCCGTGTAGGCTGATGTATGTGCTGTCAATGACACTCGGCATGGCTCCATAAAAGGACCATCAATTTAAAAAGTTACCTCCTGGTCAACTCCCTAATCATCCTTCTGATGGCACTGGGGGAGCACACCACTGCGGTATCCTAACGTTTTCAATTCTCTCCAGCTCTGGTAATTTCCCTTTTCAACACACAGGGTGGGTAGGCGCCTCTGCAGAGACTAGGAACTGACCAGAATTCCACAACCATGTCCTGACTTCAGTGGGTTGGTTTTGTTTTTTTTGAAGTTGCCTTCTGGGTTGGGCAATGATTGGTTTTCTGTTTACACAAGGGCACTGCCCCTCTTACTGTACAAAAGCGCTAAAAGTCATCTGGGTAAAAGAGAAATTATAAAAGCAAACATGTAGGGGGTGGGGTCTTGAAACAGCAAGAATTCAGAGAGCAGGCAGGAGGTGCAGGGCTCGATGCGGACACAAGAACTAGACCTAACATAATTGAAGGGTTAGAGACAGCAGCAAGAGCCCAAGGGTCATGGTGGAAAAGCATCGAGCCAGGTAGCTCAGAGAGAAGGGTAAACTGAGGCTGAGTGCTTGAGAGCCCAGAAGCCAAGAGGAAGTGCTCTGGGTTTTACCTGTGACATCTCCAGACCACTGGACAGTAGGGGAGGGGGCTACCTTCAAAGCTAGACTGGTTTTCAGGAAAGGGGAAAGATAAGTGGGGCCCATGACATCTGGGGATCAATCAAGGCAGCCACTGACACAGTGTCAGCACTGCCCCAAGAGGAGGATGTGTCTTGCTGCAAAGGTGGAACCTCCCCAGAGATCCCTTCAGGAGCAGAGCAAGGTACCACACAGCTAACTCAGGAGGCAGGTATTGGTCCAAGCCAGTCTCCGCAGTGGAGAATATCACCATATATGGAGCGAAAACTTAGGGGGAGAAAGCAGAAAAGAAAACAAGAGAGTACTGAATAGGCTTAAAGACAGAAAGAAAAATGCCTAAAGATAGCCTAAACAAAACACACGTGGCCCCAGTGCCGGCCTGTCTGCTGGCCATATGGTGTGTGATAAGACCGGACGTTTGCATTTATCTTCCGTGACTTGTCTGCAGAGCTGAGCACCAGGCCTGTGCAGTAGAGACCCTGTTGCGGTCCTTCAGCCCTGACTCTCAGATTCCAGTCTATCCCCCCAGGCTGGGAAGCAATCACAGCCGCAGCCCCTCCCCCACTCCTGCTGCCCTATCTCAACCCCTCACATAAGCCACAGCCTTCCCAGCTGTTTTCCCACAACCCCTGTAGGCCATGGGGCTATGGCTGTGAGCTCCCAGGCCAGCTGTGCCATAGTGGGGACAGCTAGCTAGCTCATTAACATTTCTTCTCACTCAAATAATCTATCATTCCCCGAGTCTTCTGTTAGGGTACAGGTAGTAACTGTAGAAGACAGCTTATTCACTGCCTTGAGTGTTTCTTGGAATTATGTCTCTTTCTGGTATATCTCACCGCCTCATCTGCCTGTGTAGAACAGCCAAACAGTACCTATAAAGTACCAATCCGCTAAAGCAGGTCTGCTTTCTCTCCCAGAAAACCCCAAATATCCATACACAGGAGGCCCAACCTCAGTCTGCAAACTGTTCTAACCAGACCTCAGTTTCTGCTCTTATCAGCTACATTTTGACTGAGAAGCCCTGTTGTGGAGGTCACTGGAAGTCTCACATGGGGCTCACTAGACATGCCATTGGTGAGCTAAATGTGAATTTTCAGAGTGTTGTGGCAGTTCACGCCTGTAATCTTGGCACTTGGGAGGCTGAGCCAGAAGGACTGAGTTTGAAGCAAGCCTGGGAGACATGTGAATTTCAACCCAGCGCAGGCGACAGGGTAAGACCGTCTCAAAACAAACTGATATTTTTTTTTATAGGTATCTGGTATCAGTATCAACTACTCTATATCTCACTATGACCAAAATGCCTAGCAAGCAGTCTTAGAGGAAGAGGGGCTTATTTCGGCTCACAGTTTAAGTGCACAGTCCACCAGGGTAGGGACATCCTGGTCGTGGGAGCTTGAGGCAAGAGGATCACACTGCATCTGGTCAGGAAGCAGAGAGAGAGAGGGATGCAGGTACCCAGTTCACTTCTTTCTTTTTATGCAGTACAGGGCCCTAGCTTGGAGGATGGTGTTGCCTAATTTTAGGGTGTGTCTTCCCACTTCAATTTGCCCAGTTTAGGTTATCCCTCACAGGTGTGCCTGGAGCCTTGCCCTGTATCAAGTCTCTTAATAGCAGTAACCACCACAGCACCCCACACAGAATCTGGGTGATGCCAAGTCCCCTTATGCACAGGGATGTGTTCCTAGATATTCTGTGGTTATATGAAACTGCAAATAATATCAACCATTAAATGATACTTAAAGTTCATAAATTAGACAAGGAAAGAACTAAAAATGGATGCACAATATCCTCTGGTAAAAGTTACTTAACATTTATTATTTTTAGACTTTTTTTTTTTTCGATATAATCCTACTGGACCTCAAGGACCTATAGTGACTGATACCTCAGAAAGAGAAGCTGCTAAGAGAGGGGACATTGTACACATGTTAAAAAAAAAAATCTGTTCCTGGGTGGGGTTGGGGGGGAATGGGGTAAGGGGATAACATCTGAAATGTAAATAAAATATTCAATAAAAATCAGGTGAATAATAAAACAACAACAACAAAAACCTGTTTATCTAAAATCCAAATTCAATGGGAAATCTTATGTTTCTATTTGTTATATCTGGTAAATGCTTATAACAGAAGGGGCTAGCCCAAGCTTTGGGATAGCCTTCCTCAGAGACCACCACAGAGACAGTTCTGGGCCAGCCTCTACTTCACCGTTGCTATTCCCGAATGCACTTAGCCAAGGCCGGCAGCAGGTTCTCTGAGGCTCTGTCTTGCAGTGATGACTTCTCGTTGGTATGATCCATCTGCTATGACATTTTCAGCCAAAGGCAAGAAGTTGCAAAGAGCCTCAAAGGAAAAGATTTGTGGTGCAGACTTAGCACAAGGAAGCCCCACGCCCTAGCAAGTGCCAAACATAGCCATCTGATACATCTTGAGGCTTGCACTCCAGCCTCTCCTGAGCAGCCCACACCCTCACTCGCAAACCAAAGGAATCTAAGATCAAGAAGGGCAGGGTAGGCTTAGCAAGAGCATGGGTGGCTTTCTAAGTGGCCAGCAGCCCAAGCCAAGGGCAGCTGGCCTGGGCAAGCCCTGACATGAGTCTGGCAGAAGGCAGAGCCCAGCCCCAGGGCAAAGCATCTCAGGTTATGAGCTCATGGGCTCTAGGCCAGGCGTGGAAGCCATGCTCTACACACAGCCTAGACGCAGCTGTTACTATGTGACTCTGACCCCAACAAGGCAACAGCGGGAAAACACTTCAATCTACAGATTCCCATCTGCTAGACGTCTACGGCTAACAATATTAGTCAAACTAAACAAAACTTATGCTTATGTAGAATGTTGGAAATTATATATGTCCCAACCAAAGACTGATAAGCCTGAGAATCTCCACCGGACTCCATGCAAAGTTTTCATAGTCACTGTGCAATATTTCTCTTTTGTTTTGTTTTGAGACAGGGTCTGACCATAAAAGCCCAGACTAAGCTGCAACTATCTAAGTCGCCTGGGCAGAATTTGAACTCATGATCCTCTGCCTGTTCCTACCAAATGCTGGGATTGCCATGCTGCTCTGGGTAATGTTGATGCTAATGACGACTTTCAGGGTGACTGTTGCATGTATATTTTAGAGAGGCAGAGAATCCCACACAGTGCTCATACAACTGATCCACACTGGGGTCTGTGAGATTCAACCCTACACCCATAGGCATTGCACCAACTGCCCGAGCCATGAGTCTGTCCACCTTTGCTCTCTCGATCTACCTATGGGTCAGTGGCTGACCATTCTACATCAGTAAGCAGGGCCAAATCTCCTCCTTCCTTGGGCAGTGGCCTCTCTTATCACCAAAGCCTGGCTTCCTGAATTTCATGAAAACTTATTCAGTAAATAATTTCAAGAAGAGAAAACCATTTGGAAGTATATTTGGAGGAGGGGAAGAGACCCCCACAAAATGCACTCCTAAAATAAATAGAAAGTAATCGATTTTCCTTTGAGGTAGGGTCTGACCATATAAGCCCAAACTAAGCTGCAACTCTTTAAGTCACCTGGGTAGAATTTGAACTCATGATCCTCTGCCCATTCCTACCAAGTGGTTGGGATACAAAATGTGTTACCCAACCAGTATTTAAATGCATCTCTGACTGTGAGTTACTATGTCATGCAGTAGACCACTAAGAAGGGCGTCCAGAAGGATGCAATCGAAGACCCAGACAGAGCATGGCTTCTGAAACTTTCCCCCGTGTCTACCAAGTCTCAGAGAGGTTGGAAACTTCCCAAGAGAACAAGGCACAGTCAGAGACTGTCGCTGCTCTCCTGCCATCCTCTACCCCTTCTCAGAGGCTGAGGAAGCACAATAAGTAAAGGGGACCAGTGCGATGATTCAGTGGGTGGCAGACCCCATGTACTCCTGATGACAGGAGTTCAATCCTCAGAACTGTCTAGAGGCAGAGAACAGAACCAATTCCACAGACGGGTTCCCGCACATAGGCACCAGGGCAGGTGTGCACCCTTCCACAACGCAACAATGTTTCCAAATGGAATTAAACATAAATAAGATGTCAGCTTTTAAGTTTAAAAGAAGAAATGCATATTATGTGGTAGAATCAGGGCAGTCAGAGGCTACATAATGAAACAAAAGTAGCTCATGCTACTTCCAAATGACCATCTGTAGAGATCAGAATTGGAGGATTAAAAAGAAGAGACTGACCTTGACGTGGGCCACGTAGTGATGACACACCTCGTCCATGTGTGTCAGCTGCAGCCTCTCTGAGACCTGCCCTGCAGTCTCTCCCAGCAACACAAAATAGACTCTGGGCAGCTGGCCCTTCTCCTTCTGCGCCACATCAGCCGTCAGATTGTAGTTCAGACCTGATAGTAAATAAGGGCCAAAGATGTCAGCAAAGATGGACATAGAGTGCCGAGACGCTAAGCCCCACAGTCCTGTGGAGAGCTTATGCACAGTTCACACAGTATAGGAAACTGCCCTGCAGCCCACATCCAGAACTTCCCAGAAGCCTATAGTCAGGCTATGGTAGACCCAGGATGACCTATCTTCCTAGGGATTCTGTGCACATCAGACTTATGGTTCATCCTTGTTCAAACCCCGTGTCTTTGTGAGATGCCAACAGAACCACCAATATGGATACAGTCAATGATTACTTTTATCGTGTGTACGGTGCTATTCTGATAGGCCAGCATCATAGCAAGCCTGTCAAACATAACTAGAAGGGATTAACATCATGGAAGTGACTTTTATTGAACCATATGATGTGATACAGGGAACAACTGCTTTGCAATAATTCCCTATCTCTCACAAATGCCGAACCTTCTCCGACTGTGTGTTATCCGCGGTGGAATGAGGTATCAGTCAATACCCAGACAAAAAATAAGTTTACTGTCATAAAGCCCCATACTTAGAAATTGAGGTACAGGCTGGGGATGGCTTTACTGTCAGGGTGCCCATCCTTCCAAAAAGACTTTGGTCATAGTGGCTGCTACATGGTGCTTCTCTTCTGAAAACTCAGCCCCTGTACCTGAGAGGACAATGCCAGACAGAAGAGTGGCCTGCATACAGAATAGAATGTAAAAAGGAAGCAGGATACTATGACGCTAAATACATGCCAGGTAAACCCAGTAGACCTTGCCTCCATCACTCTGGGGTCTGTAAGTAAAGAGCCAGCTGGATGTTTTTCTAACTGATCTCCCCCAGCAGCAGATCTACAGCCCTGTTCTCTGCAGCAGGGGCCAGCCTCCTCTGTAAGTCATTTTATTTTTTAACTCTTTTGTGGGTTCTGAGGTTATTGTATTTTTTCTTAAAGGTTTTTTTTTTATTTATTATGTGTGCATATGTGATTGCATGCTACATGAAAGCAAGTGCTCTAGGATCTACAATGGGGCATCAGATCTCCTGAGAATGGAGGCCCAGGTGGCTGTGAGCTGCCCAGCTTGGGTACTGGAAACCGAACTTGGGTCTTCTAGAAACTCCAGTCACTGAACCATTTGTCTAGCTCCAGGAAGTATAGTTTTCCATGGTAGACAAACAATAACGTCTGCCCCTAAAATAACCAGATGAGATAGCTGACCACTGGAGAGGTCACGAGCCACCCCAAGCCATCTTCACATACTCATCTGTCAGAAGCTGAGCCACCGAAAGCCAATGCCTGGCCAGTGTTTAAATATGGTGAGGCCAACCCACAGGACCGACTATGTCCTTAAACAACATCAAAGAGACCCGCGACCAAGAGAAGCTTGAACAGGGAGGGAGAAAGGTGATTTGACAGCTGTCCATGGCTGCGCCTTGGGATAATTTTGCTATATCTAATGGCTTTCCTGGGCCTCTGCCATATTATGGCTACCCATCATGCCCAGAAGGCAGATTCCTAGCCAGTGAAGGCTATGATGCCCTAACTCGCATATTCTAACAAGCAGCTGGTTTCCAAGGCAAAGCTGGGTCACCAGGAGGGACGCAGGACATGGATCATCCTGGGATATTCTAAGGAAAATACTTTAGTAGAGAAAACACAGGGTAGAAGAAAGATGTTACAAGTGGACTCTATGTATAGACTGCCAAGGCTTGAAGAAATCCTCTAGGTCAGCTCGTGCAAAACCTTCATTTTTGAGACAAAGGGACCTGAGGCTTCAAAAGGGAAAATAGTCTAGCCCAAGAGCCATCCACTGTTCAGCAGAATCAAGACTTCTTCAGATTTAGTCCGGCTATTCCTACCACACAGTCTGAGAACTTAATTTTTCAGCCTCATCTGACCTGAAACCTCTTACTCTCTAAATACAGCAGTGGTGGAACCAAGCACAGACCGAGGTCCACAGTCAAACTCTAAGCCAATCTACTGTTGACTTCAGGCAGCAACGACCCAAGAGTATGAAAGGTTACGTTTAAATGAAGCGAGTATCAAAATGCTGTTTAGTAAGATTACATCTGGAGATGCCCACTGCTTGGTCAAGTCAGAGGCTATGGCTAGAGCTTCATGGTCTTACCAGCCCCTGTCCAGCCATCCTCCTGGCTGACAAGTGAGGGTTGTCCATTTCCCCCAGGAAAAGGAAATTGGATGGGGCAGCAAACCCTGGCGATCCAGCCAGATGAGCTCAGAGAGAATGGAAGGAAGACAGGACGGAAGGTGTGGATTCCAACACATATCCTCTTGGCCTTTTCCAACCTCTCTGTCTCCACTAAGGTACTTCTCCAGTTCATGGGAGAAGTCAGGACTCCAAGCAGCACCCAGCAGGTGGACAGTGGTTTCTTTGCACCTAGGGCACCTCACACTGAAGCATGAGATTCTCCAACAGGACTGAATTTAATGGACCCATAGTGGTGACGTGCTTAGTCATACAGCCTCTATTTAGTTTGCTAGAATGACTAATTTATGTGCCAACTTGGTTGGACCTCAGTACCCAGTCAAGCACAGAACTGCACACCTCTGTAAGGGTCTTTTAAAATGAGTTTGACAGTTAAATTATTAAACTTTGAATGAAACAAAACAGAATCCATAATGTGGGTGGACTGCATTAGTTTGAACATCTTAAGAAGAAAACCCCTCAGATCTCTCTGTATCCCAATTAAAAGGAGTTTTGCATCTAGCCTACCTACAGACCTAAACGGCAGCTTCAGCCCTCTGCCAAGGTGTGCCCTGAGACCTTTGTCTTGGGAGTCTATCGGGGGAGATCTTAAATTAATACAGGGCAAGTCAGAATAGGGGAATGACTTTGGCTTTCTGTGCACACCCAGAGCTGTGCAGGGTACTTCGTAAGTATCTACTGCTCAAAGTATCACTGCCGTCACTATTGAAGATTCTGGAGACTCGTGGAAGGGGAGGAGGCTGCAGTTCAAACAACCGAGTCATGGATGAGACAGTGGCTCTGCTCTAGGTGTGTGTGTGGGGGGGGCATGTGGGAGCCAACCCCTTAGCCTAGCAGATTTTTCTTCAGTGTTCAAGTGCTTGATCCCAGACACTGTACCAGACAGACCTGGTTATCCAATAGTCAAGAGTAATCATTTCCTCTCTAGAGCTGTCTTCTTCCAGCTATGAAATTTATCTTGACATTTTTAAGTATATAGAAGTTGATTCTACATCAGACTCTCCCTTCTAGAAACAAACAAGATTCACCATGAAGAAACTCTTGAGTGAGGAGAGTCTGGGAGCTGCCAGAAGTAAGAAGAAACAGTCAACTCTGAAGCCCTCTGCGCTCCAGCTTTAAATAGCTCCCACTCAAATGCCCTACACATGTGAGGCTGGAGCCAATCAGCTTGCTTGGGGTCGGGTGGTGCCTCAGCAGCAAAACCCCTAATGCAAGCCAGCCCTGAAAAGCCCCAGCCCAGGAGGATGCTGGTTCCGGTTAGCGTTGGTTCCCACAGCATATGACACATCAAGTTCTTCCTTCTGGCAGTTTGTGTCTATGCCATGTCGAATGATGTCATGTGGTGGAAAAGCTGACCGTCCCCAGTCATGCCCCTCCCATCCCTGCCCCAGAGCTGGTTCCCAAAGGCCCCCCACATGGGCTTGGGCCGGGAGAGCACCAGCTGTCTTGAATCAACAGGGGCTCTGGTCTGTCCCAGCCAACACCAAATCATTCCCAAATCTCCATCAGAACAAGGTTTCAGCTGTAAAAGTTGACTTGCACCTCCTTCCAGCGTCACTCAGTTTCCCTCGGCACATCCCAGGAGAGGTGGGAAAGGGACATTTCTACTTTGTTAGCTTTTCTTAATTCTTTCTCTCCTCCTCCAAAGAAGGCGATATTTACTTGGCAGTAAGTAGTTTCTTAGGTAACCCCGTTCCTTCCATGACAGGACTTTCCCTTTCTCATCCCTACACTTCAGGGGATCAGAAGCTTTGAGAATATTCTCTTCATGCAAAAAGCTTTCCAGAGTAGATATACCACCTCTAACTTTGGGGAAAAAAAGGTTTGCAGGCACCAAGTATCTGCTTCCAACTGTATTTCTGCTATGCCTGTGGGTAACCTGAGGGCCATCCTCGGGGACTGTGATCTACAGCCTGGCTGCAGGCAGTAATAGAGCCCCTGCTCATACAAAGCTTTGTCAGGTTGTCTGTCTGTAAGCCAGGGAAACGTGAGGGTAGAGGGTCAGAGCGCAAAACACGGGCTGGGGACACAGACTAGTGGTCGAGGGTTTTTGTAGCATACTTGAAACCTTGGATTCAATCCCTGAACTAGCAGAATGGGAAAAGCAACTTCATGGGGCTCAGCCCTTCCTGGTTTTCATCTGATGTTAGGGAAAACGTCTTGAACCCCATTTCTCAGCCTGTAGACAGGCAAGTCTATGACCACCAAGACAAGCCTATGGTCTAGCTAGAGAGACAGCCTATGGGTAAGGGGGCAATCACTCTTGGTTACAACACTCACTTCTCTTTTGTGGCAGCCAGGAGGCTCTACGAAGCTACAAGCAGCCAAGGAGGAAGTGTTTGAACTCTTGTTTGAAATTGCTTAGTGAAACATGGGATAAACCTGTTCGTGGGGCTGTCTGCTGCCAGAGTGGGAAGCCGGCCGGCATGCCACTTGGCACGTGTCTAGAAGGGCAAGTGAGGAGACCCCTCCCGCTAGAATGTGAGTCTGTGCTCTGTGCCCAGGGCTGAGCACAGAGTCTGGCAGAGCTTCCTCATGCTTTGCTGATCCAAGAGCCCAAAATAACACAGATGAGGCTCATTTTCCCACCTCCATGCCTCCAGAGTGCAGGGTGAGCACGGAGAGTGTCCTCTGAGAACAGTGCTCTCTGGCGTAGGAACATGGCCTCATCCTTCAGATCCCCTATAAACCCGGATGCTTCTCTCCTGTTTTATGAAGCCCGTGATTCTCAGTTCCAAGCCCACTGCCCACTCTGCTGTGACTCTGGGGTTGGGAGCCCACAAACCTGTTTTGCCAACAGCTCCCTGTGAAGTTCTGCCAATAATAAGAGGGGAGAGAGAGAGACGGGAGCCTGCGAGGCTGGAGGGGAAAGAAGGCCTTGGTCCTCCCTGCTTATTCATCCGCTTAACCAACAACTATTTTTTTTTCATGGCAGCTGGCTCCAACGGCCATAATTCAACTCCATAGTTTCTTCTCCATGACGCAAAGCCCTCGTTGTACTTTCTCAGAGGGGCGAGTAGCATCACCCAATGCTCTCTGCTGAAAGATTTGGGTCAGAGTTGCACAGGGTCCCTTCTGCAAACTCTCAGGTTCTGATAATCCCAAGGAAGGAGTTAACTGAGTGTAACCTTGACTGGCCACTCGGAAGCTTGGTAAACACAGGTCACTGTGTTCTACCTCAGAGTTCTCATTCAGTTTGAACATACATGGCTAACTAGAAAGCTTGCAGGTGATGCCAAGCCGCTGATCTGAGAGGCTGGCTAGCTACTGGTTCGGTCCCAGCCATGGCAGTTGTCCTCTACAATTACGGCTGCTTCTGGCCTGCTCAGTCCCTTCCAAGAGGAGTCAAATCCTGTTAAAATGTATACTGTGGCAATCTGTTTCCTCACTGGATTTTGCTTATTACCTGGGCCAAGGCAAATTCACCCCTTGTGGACACCTCATTTCCCACAGTATCCCCAGAAGTCACCATTGTCCCTCTACAAGCTGACCTTGATACTCCTAGGACCAAAAGAGAGCTGAGATTTCCCATTGCTGAAGTGAGATGGAAGAGACAGTTGATATACATGCCCAAGCCTGATAGGTTCCAAGGACAAAAAGCAGTAGCCTAAGGGAACAAGACTGCCACAGCTGCTCTGTCTCCCAAAGCCATCCTCCAAACAGGTCATGTGATTGAGGATCCACCAGACTGATGCCATGGAAGATCTCATCCTTGACTGTAATTTAGATGCCCAGATGGGGCTGCCCAGATGCAGCCAACTGTTGGTAAACAGCCCAGGATACATTGATGCCAAGTGTCCAGAAGACCTTTTTACACAGGTATCACCAGGTAAACAACACTTATCCAGACAGGCATCACCAGGCAGTCCGTAGACAACACCCAGGATCGTTAGAGTTCCACTGCCAAAATGGAAGTGGGAAGGAATACAGAGCCCCCAGCTCTGCGTCCTGAATGCAGAGGCCTAAGAGATGACCCTGGGGGAGGGTCCTGTGCCCTGGAGAGGCCTATCCTTCCTCTACCTGGAGACACGGTCTTCCTAGCTCTGTGGAACCAAGAGTCTCCTTCTTGCTGATTTTGAGGGATAGCCACCACAGGCCCTGGCCTACACAGCTCCAGCAAGCTACCTCCCTCACTGATGATGACATTTCTAGAACAATCATCCATTTTTCTCTCCCAAACTCTCTGCCCCACAGCCAGCTTGTTCTCTGGGCGGATGGCTCCATTTCTAATTGAGGTGTGCTTCATTTTCAAGCAAATGACAGAAGAAAATGGATAGTTCAGGAACTCATTCCCTAAAGAGATGTAAACGAATGCTTACCCCTCTCAAGAGGGGTTCAAGGGCTGAGCAAAGCCTGGAACAAACTGTGATCCCCTAAAGTCCAACTTGGGGAAAGAACCTATTCTCAACAGGGAGCCAGTGGGATTATTGGGCTAACTTACAGAGCATGCATGAAGAGGTCTTGCAGGAGTGTGGGTGACTCCAGAACAGCCACACTGGAAAGTCTCACCCCAGCATAGACAACAACTTTCCCACAGCTGAATGGTCTTCACCTCCCCAGTGACCTTCCACGGCCACATCAGCATACCAGAGACTGTGAAGCCAAGTGCAATTAGGGTAGAATGACATACAAGTGGCTATGAGAGGTATGGGTGCATATGGCTGGAGTCTCAGGTGAGTCCTAGGCCCTCCCTTTTCTCCCTTCTCTAAGGGAACAGACAACAACCCCCGTCTCGGGACTTTGAGTAGTCCCCACTGTTCAGATAAAATGATGGTGGTTGTCCCCGGAGGACAGCGTCTTACAACAGACAAACAAGGGAACTTCTTGCTGCCCCATGGATATCAACATCCTCCACACCTGAATCTTAGTTCTTCCATGTGCACACGCATGTTAAGCACTTTCTTTAAGACTCAGTTATAACCCGAGCCCCAACCTGAGTGCTAAATGGTAAAGATCTCTCGAGAGCCTCAGAGTGCAAAGGGGACATTTGTCTTCAATGACCCATGTGACAGAGGCTAGAGACATGACCTGAATGGAGAATGCACAGGGGCCAAGCCACCCACCCGTGTCCACTGCCCAGCTGGCTCCTCACTGCCTGTGGGACACACATCATCGACAGCCTGCCTTCCCATAACCTTTCAATCCTTCAAGGGCCACGGTCAAGCTCAGATCCTCAGACTTTTTTTTCCTAGTGATCTGTGAAAAGCTGTTTTGTGACTGTGTCCCCAGAAAGGGCCACAGGTTGAGAAAGCATAGAGGCTCCACCCCGTCTCCTCACGCAGCCCTGGAATCTCACACTCTGGGCTTTCTTGTCCTTAAACTCACTTCTCAGTTTCTCCTCTATCCCAAAGGCCACTCATATTCACGCTTTCCAGGACAGGGAGCAAGACTATAGAAGTGAGTCTACCACCACGTCAGGAGCGGGGCAGTGGGAACTCGCTACAGGCCTGCAGCACAGAACTGTTTTCGGTGCAGGGCCCAGTTGGGTGCTTGTAAATGGTTATTGAATAAGGATCAGCGTGCACTGCTGCTTGCATTTCTTCTAGAGCTCTAAAATATCGTTTTTTATGTGTAACAAAATTAAGATTCGGGGTTTGGGGGTATAGGTCTGTGGTGGGCATATATTCATCAGGGAAGACGGCCTGGGTTTGACCCCTAGCTCCAACATAATAAAGTCTTACAGATCCTGTGAAACGTTTGTTAACTATTCGAATTATCATGGTCGGACCAGAAACGGCTTTCCATTAAGACTCTGATGTCTCCGACAACAAGGGTGACAGAAAGAAGACGGTGATGAGAAAGTGTGGCTAAGGTAAGTGTACACCCCCAACAACAGCTGTAAGAACTTAAAGGAGCCTCTTTCATGGACTATATTTAAAACTTGCATGCATCCTCCCTCCCAAACTTATCATATGGTTATGTTCAATGTGGCAATTTCTTTTCTAAAAGAAAAAATCTTTATAAATAAGTAGAAGGTTTAATTGTGGAGTTTGTTCTGTCCGGTTGATCGAGGTAATTTGCCAATGAGAGCTGGGGGTTCTGCATGTTGATGTATAGGATGGGATGTCTAAAGCCTGGCTGAGGGAACTACACATGTGAGCGTGGTTTTGCAGGTTTGGGGTGTGTGCATAAGTGTGAACTCCGGAGTAGTGCTTTTCACACTTAAATAGCACACAAACCTCACACAGAAGTGGCCACAGTTAGCTACAGCTCTCAAGTTGACACAGCCTGAGTCATCAGAGGGAGTCTCAACTGAGGCGTGGTCCGGATCAGTTTGCCTTGTGGTCACAGCTAATAGAGAGTGCTCTTGATTGACGGTCGATTTGGGAGGGTCCAACCCCCTGTGGGCAGCATCATCTCCCTGGACTGTATAAGAATACTAACCAAGTCAGAGCTTTTTCCAAACTCCCTGAGATGCCAGAGTAATGCCACACTCTTAAAAACCTAAACCCTGGAAACCTTCACATCTCCATCCCGAAGTCAGCTGTGCGCCCCAGGTACCTAATTGACGCCACAAGCTTAGTGGGGGCCTCCAGATTCCTGTTGTCTCCTTGTGTTAATGCGTGGAGCTGTGCCTGCAGAGGAGGCTCACGCATTCCGTCTCAGCAGCCCACACTCTGCCCCGCCCAGTCCACACTCTGCCCCGCCCAGTGAGTTCCGGCCTGGTCCTCCCGTATTTGGGGTGTGAATGCTGGAGGTGATTCTCCTCGGTGTCATGTGTCCTAGAGCTGGAGGGTGTGTGAAATCTGAAATATGTAAATGAGCAGGGAAGTAGAAGGAAGAGCCTCAGAGGAAGAGTATCCAGTCCACCAGACCCCCTGCCTGCAAAGCCCACTGGGCCGTAAAGGGAGAGGGAACTTGGAACATCCCCCAGGTTGTAACCTCGAACCCGCTAAGGCTGGTGAGTCCCGACACTGTGACTCATTACCGATTTCTCCTGGTACGTTCTTGCCATGGAATCGGAAGCACGCGGTGACGTTCAGGCAGTTCACGGGCTGCTGTCCGTCATGACACTGAGGCGCTGTGATGTTGATGGAGCCCGGCAGGAAGATGGAAACATCCACAGTGATGACCGGTCTGGCCCTGCAAGGGCAAGGAGGGGGGAGGGGAACCTGTGTTAAGTAGCAGCGCTCAGAACCAAACTCGAACTCTAAGGCAGAATAGATCCCGGGCCTTCAGCCAGCGTTTAATTAAAGAATGAAGTGCCCCAAGAGAGAAAGGCCAGTGTGCTCTCTGTAAGTACTTTTTCTGGTTTTAAAAGTAGCACATTCCCTAAAATACTAATGGTTTGCTTCCCGGTAACAAAGGCAAGTTAGTTGTTAATGAAACACAGCTGGCTGAGGCCGTAAATCAACCACCAGATGCTGGGTGATTATTTAAAATTTCACCCAAGAAGTTCCGCTTTCCGTCTCATTGGGGAGACACTGTCGAGAAGTTTCTACAACAGAAGCCAGGACTCAGGAGCTGGACGGAAAGTCAGGGATCAGAGACTAGACACAGAGCCGACTGTGACAGCTTACTCCTGGAAACCCAGAATCCCAGTAACTGAGTCAGAAGGATTTCCCAGAGTTCCAGGTCAGCCAGGGTACTGGAGTGAACACTTGCATTAAGAAGCCAAAAGAAGTGGGTGGTGGGGGAGAGACACAGATACAGCCAGTGAGATGGAGAACACCGGGCATATACTGAGTGGCTTCTCCCCCATTTCTAGTGTGAGTTAGAACTTGGCAAATTTCTATCTCATCCACTTGGCCAAATATCCTCTTTCTTTTATATCTATCAATGCATTGGATATGCTCTAAAAAGAATTGATCAATGGAGGCCCAGCTGGTACCAGCAGAACACTTCAAGGAATCAGCCTGTCTGGTCTTAGGACAAAATGAAATCCAATAAACACAGCCCTCTCCCTGACATGACCACCCGCCCCAGCTCCTGATGGATAACCAGCATCCCTGGACTCCCCTGGGGCATCAAGACAAAAGCTGAGACAGAAGCAGGCATCTCTTCCCCATCGTAAAAGTCTGCTCAAAGAGGTGCCACCTAAGCTGTGGCTTGACCTTCTCCCCCCCACCCCCAAGCCTCACAAAGAGAACCTTTCACCTCTCAGGAGCCCCGGCCTTCATGCTTCTGGAGTGGCATGAGCTTAAGGGGAACCAACAGCATGGGAAAGATGTGTATAAGGCTCAATCAAAGTGCACTGGGGTAACAGGACAGAGGGAACAGAGGACCAACCAACCCCAGGACAAGAGAACATTAAAGGAAAACCAGGCCACATAAGGCACTGGGAAGACACAGATGGCACAAGGAGACCCCATTGTAGCCACCATTGCAGAGACAGGAAGGCCAGCAGGGCAGCTGTGACCAGGCAGTGAACTGGAGGACTCTGAGCAAATCTGGCTACAGGGCAAAAGGAAGTCAGGCAACACCAACGCCTGAAAGAAACCAACATCCTGGTCTCTCTGTGTTCTTTCTTCCTGGAAGATGCTAGAACTACTTATAAAGTAGAACACCACACTCTCGTCAATGTACAAACGATGTCATGATTGACTTTGTCAACCTGACAGGATCTGGAGTCGTCATGAGAACATGTGAGGGGGTTTCTAGATTAGGTTAAGTGAGGCAGGAAGACCCACCCTGTGTGGGGAAAGTGCCACCCATGGGCTGGGGGCCTCGGGCTGAGTGAAAACGGGAAAGCAATCTGAGTAGCAGTGTTTGGCTCTCTCTGCGTCCTGACTATGGATACATGTGACCCTCTGCCTACACCTACATCCATGACTTCCAAATGGACTGTACCCTTAAATCGATAGTCAGAATACCTTTCCTTCCTTGACTTGTTAGGCTTTATTTTATTTTTTTCAGGCATTTGTCATAGCAATAAAAAGTAGGCAATGGGCCGGGCGGTGGTGGCGCACGCCTTTAATCCCAGCACTTGGGAGGCAGAGGCAGGCGGATTTCTGAGTTCGAGGCCAGCCTGGTCTACACAGTGAGTTCAGGACAGCCAGGGGCTATACAGAGAAACCCTGTCTC